CTCTTCCAGCCAGGACCCAGACTCTTCCAGCAGGACCCAGACTCTTCCAGCCAGGACCCAGACTCTTCCAGCCAGGCCAGACTCTTCCGGCCATGACCCGGACTCTTCCAGCAGGACCCACACTCTTCCAGCCAGGACCCACACTCTTCCAGCCAGGCCGGACTCTTCCTCTTCACCCTGTGGAGGGTGGACCCGCAGCATCTCAGGCCTCATTCCAGACCTGTTAGATCCAAATCTGCATATTCAAACATCCCAGATGATTCACATGTGCACTAAAGTTTGAGAGACATTAAAAGGTTTCAAACTCTAAGGAAACAAGATCTACAATGAGTTAGGAATTGATAAAAACTGAGAGGATGTACTTAACTTGAACTTAGTTTTCCTATTTCTTTATTACTTTCATCTTTTTTACTTATTTTGTGAATCAAGGACAGTGCTTTGAGATAGTTAAATGTCTGCACTGTTATTCAAACATAATAGACATGCTCCTACCTGACCTCCATTTAACCAATCCATCCGGCCCCCTGCTCTCCATTCCTGCTGCAGTGTGCACCATCTGGGTTCGGAGCACCTTGAACCTCTCTGTTGCAAGGTTTGCTCTTCTGGACACCATTGCATATCTGTTCCCATCAGCTAGGAGAAGCATCCTTGGCTGATGTAAATTATTTGCTTGCAAACATCCAATTTTGGGGCCGGCCCCGTGGCTTAGCAGTTAAGTTCTCGCGCTCCGCTGCTGGCGGCCCACGACGCACTGCTTCTCCGGCCATGCTGAGGCCCACATACAGCAACTAGAAGGATGTGCAGCTATGACATACAGCTATCTACTGGGGCTTTGGGGGGAAAATAAAGAAATAAATAAAATTATTAAAAAAAAAATCCAATTTTGTTGCTCACAAATTTATTTATACTAATTTCACTTGTTATTACTCTGTAACCTAGAAAATGTATGTAAACAAATAAAACAAAGGCAAAAAATTTCTATGTAGACTAAGTGGAAAGCTTTGGAAAGACTAGATATAGATGAGTTACTTCTTTAAAAAAAAATGCTATCTCTGGGAAAGAAATCTGTCAAAAATTAGAGGAAGAAATTGTGATAATCTGCAAGGATTTGGCACTCAGATTGTTTAGCATCTGTCTAAACTCTTGCTCCACTTGTGTAACCAAAACTGGACACTGTTCACAATGAATTACAAGTGTGGTTTACACAAGCCCACTCATACAGAGCTCCAATCACTGATCCATACTCAGAGAGACGGCCTGCCCTACACTGAGACCAGCAAAGCGATGTTTGCCTCGTGTTTGAGGTTAAAATGTTTGCTATAGATCTTTTTCTTTTTAATTCACACTTTGACTTGATCAACTCAACAACTACGATCCCGGTTGTATTGGAGAAGAGGGCTTCTCCTGCAGCTGTATTTACTTTAAAAGAAATCATTAGCTGGCTCTTACATTTTCTTGTTTTTCTCAAATTTGTCTGCCTCAAGAAGCCTCTGAGGGCACCTCAGTCTTGTTAAAAGACATCACCATTCACAGAGGCAGGTACAGAGGGGAAACTAGCCTTCACAGGATGGGCTTCAGAGTTTTCAAAATTAATTCTGTGGTATTAGTTAAAAAGAAGCTCACACCCCTATTCACAGCAGCATTACTCACAGTAGCTGAAATGTGGAAACAAACGCAAGTGTCCACAGACTGATGAATGGATGAACAAAAAGTGGTATATCCATACAATGGAATACTATTCAGCCTTAAAAAGGAAGAAAAGTCTGACACATGCTACAACATGAGCGAACCTTGAAGACATTATGCTAAGTGAAATAAGCCAGTCACAAAAAGACAAATACTGTATGATTCCACTTAAATGTGGTATCTAAAGTAGTCAAGCACGTAAATACAGAAAGTAGGATGGTGGTTGCCAGGGGCTGAGGGGAGGGGAAATGAGTTGTTTAATGAGTATAGAGTTTCAGTTTTACCAGATGAAAAAGTTCTGGAGATCAGTTGCACAACAATGTGTATATACTTATCACTGCTGAACTGTACACTTAAAAATGGTTAAGATGATAAATCTTATGTATATTTTACCACAATTCAAAATAAAAATAATAAAATAAAAGAAACTCACTTGAAAAACTGTACTGCCAACTTAAGGCCACCATATCACACGTAGCGACCACGAAAACTTTTCCAAAGGCCACTGACAGCTCATGATCCCTTCGAGCTCATCTTATCTACCTCTAGGGCCCAGGAGTTTAACACTAAAATTACGTTGGTGGTATCATAATTTCCCTGAAATGAATGAACATGAACTCAGACACTAACACCAGAATGTGCCCAATGTGACTCTGAAAAGGAGTATGATGGAATCCAATATGAACAGCAGCAACGGCAAAATGTAACATCCAGTTCAGATAGTGGAATGCGTAAAATCAGGCAATGCTGAGAATTGGAAATGACTCTCAAGTATTTTGTTTACAGATGAAAAGTCAGAGGCCCATATGAGGAAGATTATAAAACTTTGAAAGGCTTAAAAAATACCTAAGTAGGGGCCAGCCCAGTGGTGTAGTGGTTAAGTTCACACGCTCCGCTTCTGGTAGCCTGGGGTTCACAGGTTTGGATCCCTGGCGTGGACCTACGCACCGCTCATCAAGCCATGCTGTGGCAGCATACCACACAAAGTAGAGGAAGATGGGCATGGATGTTAGCCCAGGGCCAGTCTTTCTCAGCAAAAAGAGGAGGATTGGCAACAGGTGTTAGCTCAGGGCTAATCTTCCTCACCATTAAAAAAAAAAAAAAAGGACAAATAACTTAGTAGGGGAAAAAAGGGGCAAAAGACATGAGCAGGCATTTCAGAGAAGAGGAAACACACATGGCCAATAAACATATGAAGAAATGTTCACCCTCATTAACAATCAAGGAAATGCAAATCAAGACAATGTAGGGCGGGCCCCGTGGCTTAGCGGTTAAGTGCGTGTGCTCCACTGCTGGCGGCCTGGGTTCGGATCCCGGGCGTGCTCCGACGCACCACTTGTCTGGCCATGCTGAGGCCATGTCCCACATACAGCAACCAAAAGGATGTGCAACTATGACATATAACTATCTACTGGGGCTTTGGGGGAAAAAAAGGAGGAGGATTGGCACTAGATGTTAGCTCAGAGCTGGTCTTCCTCAGCAAAAAGAGGAGGATTAGCAGGGATGTTAGCTCAGGGCTGATCTTCCTCACAAAAAAAAAAAAAAAAGACCACAATGTGATAAATTTTAACTGTATTCAAAGGACAAAAATTATAACTGACAATGCTAAGCGTCAGAGAGGATGTGGATCAACCGTGTTAGTCATTGCTAGAGGAGCCGGTATCGGTAGAGCCATTTTGGTAAACCATTTAAGATAATCTTGTAAAGCTAAACATTAATGTATCCCGAAACCCAACCATTCCACCTTTAGATATATACTCATGGAAACTCTTGTACTTGTACACCAAGAGACAGGTACAAAAATGTCCCTAATAGCAAAACTATGGAAACAACCCAAAAGCCCACTAACAGGAGAATGAATAAGTAGTCTGTGCTGTGTTCACACAATGGAATAGCAGTATACCAACTTCATGCATCAGTATTTTCCAGTTATTTATTGCTGTGTAACAAACCACCCCAAAACTTAATTGGCTTAAAATGTAATGGCTTAAAACAGCCATTTTATTATATTCATGATTTTGTGTGTCAAGAATTCAGACAGGGCTCAGCTCCACGTGCTACTGACTAAGGTCACTCAGTGGCATTCAGCGGTGGGTGGGCTGATCTGGAGGATCCAAGGCGGCTCCATTCACATGCCTGGCACCGTGGCAGGGAAGGTTGGAAGATGGGGCTCAGCTGGGAGCCTACATGGGGCCTCTTCAGCACAGTGGCCTCAGAGTAGTGGGATGCCTTCCTCATATGAGGGTCCCTGAGTGCTCAAAGAGACAGGAAGTAAAAGTTGCCAGTTTCTTAAGGGCTGGACCCAAAACTGGCATGGCATCACATCCACCATATTTTGTTGGTCAAAGCAGGCACAGAGCCCGCCCAGATTCAAGGAGAGGGGCCACAGACCTCCCCTCTCAACGGGAGAAGTCTTAAAGAATTAGTGACCATATTTTTTCTTCGGCAAATATAGACAAATCTTTACATTAATTATGAGTGAAAAATAAGTACTAAAAGATCTCCCACACAGGATGCCCTTTTTATAAAATTAAAAACAACTAGAACAAAAAATATATACTTTTTAGGGATAAATGTAAATGCGATAAAGCTATATAAAAAGGAAAGTGAGAGAAATGATATATGTGAGATTTAGAACGGTAGTTTCCTAAGCTGGTGGGAAGCAGAGAGAAGGGAGAAAAGGTGGGGGAGATTGGCAAGGTAATTGTAGGCAAATGTCAATGACCTGGTTTTTGTGTTGGGTGGTGTTTTCATAGATGGTAAAATAGAAATGAACTAATGAATGAATGAAAAAGAGCCTCGCAGGGACCAATGACTAAAGTACGTCATGAACAAGGATTATGATTAAGCCAATTCTGTGCACTCGAAGGACATTTTTTCTTTTTAAAGGAAGAAGAAGCCACAGCAGCCGAGGCCCAGGGAAGTTATTTGGTTCTTCTTCCATCACACAACCAGTTGGAGGTAGAGCTGAGACTAGAAGCCAGGTTCCCTGTCTCTGACTGTCCGGTTTTGTTTCCTTTGAGCCATGAGACCTAGTAGAGAATCCAGCTGAAAGCAGGATGGGGCCAGGATCTAGGGTGTGGTTTCCTGTGGTGCTTTTTGCCCTGTGCCCTGTTCACAGAGTCAGAACTGGGGAAGGACATTGTGGATTTGCCTCAGGGCACAGAAATTTGACCAGAGCAAACATTTTCAATAATCATCTTAAAAGACCGAGTAGAACTTAAAATATTCTCCCCACGCAGCAAAAGCCTTCCCCACCTCTCAAACCAAGTTGGCCCTTAGCCTCTTGGACAGAGATGGACAGAGCCCAGCATCCACGGTCAGCTGCCAGGCTCAGGCCCTTGGGATTCTTCTCTCTCCCATGCTCCTGACTCTAGCCGAGGAGCAGGTCCTAGTTACGGGCGTAGCCACTAACTGGTAGAATGCCAACATAAAGGGTATAAGCAAATTTTCACTCCAAGTTACATCAAGAACATCGCCTATCTTTGTAAGTGAATACGGAAATGTTGACACTAAATCAAAATGACATGCCTTGAGTATTACTGACACTTTATGCTGCTAAGACAGATGAGTGATCACAGAATCATTGATCAGTCACCAGTTCGTGGATGCCATGAACATAAATGACATGGAAGTAGGCTATTTGACCTTGCAAAGGTCAAGACCAAACCAAAGCCAGTTAGCAGATTTGGGCCAGATGCTGAAACCAAAGCCCAACTTGCACACATCTCTAACCTTTTGACCTAGAGATCCCATTTGAAGGAGTTCATTCTAACTGGAGTGGGCAAACGTTGACGCTCTCAGCATCCATCCTTGGGGACAGCACTTCCTTCCCTGGGTGAATCTTCCCTCCTCCTCTTCAGCCACATGGTTCTGGTGGAAGTTGCCAATTATAGTGCCCACCGCCTGGACACAG